GTTTAACTTCTTACACTGAAATGTTTCTGGGAAGAAAACAATATGTATTTGAAGAATAAAAGCAAAAATACAAACATGCTATTTGGTTCTATTTACATCGGTATTTACATTTTACACCATTTGAGAGTATACACAAGACACATTTTGAAATGATATATAAATATATTTGCCGTATAAACTATTATAAAAAGAAAATATAAAATGTATGTATTTTTGTAATATCAAACAATATGATTTTTAAAAAATAGAGAAAATATCGGAGCGAGAAACTTTGTCAAAACATTTCATATCAATGCATATAAATGTTTTCAGAAACTAATGTTAAAATACAACTTCACCAATGTATGAATAGTCACTGCAAAATATATTAACAAAAGTAAAACATAACAGTAGATGTCAAATGTCTTTCCAATTAATTTCCAAGTCACTAAAGGAGTGGCATCAACATCATTTTGTATAAATAACTTTTCGTTAGTGTTTATTACGTCAACTTGCTCAGACAAAATGGAAGCTTTCCGCTCGGGTGCTACAGTAGCTTTCTTTCTCTTGAAATACCAACATCGAAAGTAATAAATCATCTTTTCTACGGCTGGAGGAACTGGTGTGTCCTTGTCATAAATACGCAACGAGAATATACACAGAAATAAAATGAGTGAGCTGTAAACCAACAGAAAAAGAATATAATAATATAAATAAGCCATAGGTTCTGAACTCTCCGGAACAGTCGAATTTATCATTTGCATAAAAACAATAAATGACAAAAATGTTGTTATAGCAACTGATGTCCTCTCTCCAGAATTTGCAGGCATAACAAACACAAGATCATTTATAAGGCCAAGGAACACCATTGGAAATATTATATAGACTACAAAGAAATCACTTCGCCTTTGTAGTTTTAGCATCACAAAAATCGTCGGGGGAAATGATGATATTATATCATAATTGTTCTGTGACGTTGCCGACTGAAGTATCCATTGGCTATTGTCGGAAAAATAATCTTCGCTTACTTTTGCATCATTAACCATAAGTAACACTTCGTCGTTTGTGTAAGACCGACCTGAAACCGTTAATAAGCATGTTTGGGTATCGAAAGGAAAGTACGTCACGTCAACAGAACAAATAATTTTCAAAACACTTCCAATATTCCACATGACGAGGCCATTCGAGAATAACCGTGCCATCAACGATACATTAGTTATCTCCTGGAGTGTGTTATATGATTGTAGAAGATAAAGTTGTGGTCGCCAAATGTCTTCTGAATCTACTAACAACACCGATTTGCCACCATATTGAGAAGGTGTCCATATCAAGTTTTCGTCAATCCATTGAAAATTGAAATGCATTGTAAGTTCTATTTTTCCAGACATTTCATCAAAATTATTTATACTTATGATTCCAATCGTGACATTTATTTCCACTGAGTTGTTGTGATTTATCAATGGAAAAAGTTTCCTGTTATAATTCTGGAACAAGTTTGTGTATAAACTTTCAACCTGTGTTACATTTGAGCAGTGAATGTATTCATGCAGAAGGAGTAAAATGTTTACAATCAAAAGTTTACACTCCATATTCATCGTCATGTTCAACTTCTATTTTAATTGACACTTAATCATCGTGTGAATTATATCAACTATTTTTACACTAAACAAAATTATCACTTGATTACAGAATAATATAATATTCGCAGCCGTTGTCCAACTTTCGTGCATTATGATATCTGGTCACCTTCCATGTTTAAGATATACAAGATATACATCTATGCGTTCCAGATTCACGAACGATACTATGAATTGATCTCTAAGTTTGGTAAACTGACATACACATCGTTTAAACAAAATGATATACTATAAGAAACACCTTTTATGTATATTTTCTGTTTATAATTTACTTTATTGATAAAAGATTTAAGTATTTTGTGTATTTCTGTCAAAATGTTGTCAGTGCACATCCATAAACTTCCCAATTGTCTTAATCTCCACAAACGTAATCTAACCATAAGTGCAGCGAAATATTAACATTTAAATATTCAAACTTGCTCTGTTATTTCCCTTCAACAGATAAAAAATAACCGATTTAGTTTCTGTCCAATTGCTACTGTATTCATTGTTTTCAATGACAAATTGTAGTAGAATTATCAAGATATATCCGTTGAAATATAATTTTTAAAAGCGGGAGAATGTCTTAAAATGAAAAATTTATTCTCCAAATAATGTTCATCCTCCAAACCAAAAGGTCCTGAAAATATCACTTTACATGTAAGTAATACCGTCATCCCAGCAGCACATGGTGTTGAAATTGAAGCAATAATTGGCGGTATAACTCGCACATAAAGGAATGGACAGTGACAATGAACTATTGATAAGTTAATATCGGGTATTTCAGGTATAGAATCACAATCAATAACAATATTTTGTTCCAATATTTCGAAATTTCGAAAGAGCAAAATTATTGAACAAAATTAGAGCTTTAAGTGAGTTACTATTTATCGAACAAACAATTACTGGCGTCCGCGCCGAAGCGCGGCGCCCTATATGGAATGAAATCAGATTTTGTGAAAGGGCGACAACATCTTCTCAAGCCTTTTAGTCGGTCATGTTAAAAGCCGATCATTCCGATCGGTATGAGGGTGCTTGATTATTAATTAAAAATGAAATGTCGCGAATGTACAATGACGAGCGAAATGGAGTATTTCGCATTGCAAACAGTTTCAAATGAATAAACCTTTTCCGCTCTTCGGAGTATTTTTATTTATCAGTGGGTTATTATGGTATGTTATTGTTGTACATGTACATGTATCCGAAAGCTGTAAATAGAATGATGAGTTGATGACCTAAATATTCCGAAAATCTATTTATTGAGGGATGTACTTCTATCGGTAATTCCCGGTCTCTCCTGGTTTATTTTGACCGGGATTTACTAGTGACCGGCGAATAGTACCACACGTTTATTGTCCGGTCTCTCCCGTTTTTGAAGTAGATATTTGATATCGTTACAGAACAGAACAAATATTTTACAGATAAATAAGTTTTTTTTTTCCAAAATGAATGTTTGTCACTTAGTTTGGTTACAATAATTAATAAACACAGATCAACTCTCACATTTATTGATTATTATTGTTATTATACATGAACATACAATTCGAACAAAAAAAACCAACAACAACAATAGTGTGTTTTATTTTATCTAAATGAGATAAAAACAATAAATATGTATAATAGTTGAGAAAAAAGGTACATTTTATGGAATTAATATGACACTATCAGCTTTGAAACATTTTATTTAATTTGTTATTCGTGTTTAGTAAAGATGCCGAGGAATTATTCAAAGTTACAAATTAGATATTATGAATTATTCAATTGATTAATAATTCTAAAAAATGATAAAGAAAAATACAAATGTACATGTATATGGTTTAAGAATAAACAATATTATATATTGAAAGATTAACCATAATTTACTGACTTTTTACAGTTAAGTTTTGACTCATAATCGTCGGTCAATATGACAATTGAATTCTTAAAATAGTAGTAAACGTAAAAACTCAGTATTAAAATAGCACATAAAACATAAAAAAGAAAAGAAAGCAATATTCATAAAATCTGTATTTTTTTATTAAAATAGATATAATAATTGTTGTATAATAAACAATTATGCTCAACATGATCAACATGGTAATTTAACCAGTGTCATATTTGTTACTAAGTGTGAACAGATACCTTAAGAGGGTGTCTTCGCTAAAAGCAATAACATAATAAGGGACAATTACACAAGTGTGATATTGATCATGCATAACACATATGGATTATAAATGATTGTATACAATCATGTATATCCGTTGCTATTAATAATTACGATCATAAAGAAATTACAAGTAATATTCTAATCTCTAGCATAGTTAATAATGAAAAATGTCTTTCATCCGTTCATTCATAAGTGATATACAATTCTGGTAAAAACCAATTAACCATTGAAAAGTTTATAAGAATATCTTGTCATCATATATCTACTAGATCATCTTCACCTGCTGCATTTTTTGCTTGGACGCCCTTTGATGCTTTGCATCAATGCTTTTCTTGTGTTCTATCTATGATTAAATTAAATATGACATAGGCTATATACATGCATATATTATTTAAATGTGGTTTATCCATCATTAGAAATAAGTCATCATATGGAAAGAATTGTAATAGACTGAAAAGATCTATACTTCGAAATGTTAATGTCGCATAAAGTATCGACCAAATGCAATTGTATATTCTGATACATCAATTTTGTGCATACATTTAGATAAAATACTTGTAACTTTTTATACAAAATATATATAATTACCCTCAACTTTCATGTTTAGTAAACTGATTTTTGTTTGTTTGTTTTTTGTTTTTGTTTTTTATTTGTACGAATATTTTTGTCGTTGTAAGAAATTAAACTTCTTTAGGAGATTCATTGATTTTGTAAATTGTTGGCAGGAGGGGAATCAAATAATATTCTATTTCAGGCTTTAGGACCGTTAACTCTTACTATTTTTGTGAATGTCGGTATTTTAAAATTACTGTCTTTTAGAGCCATTTAACAATCAAACGCCTGTACAGAGGGATTCAAACCCACAGTGGAGAGGTAGGTGTGGCTTGAAGTCAATGACCACACGGGCACAGAAACTCTTGTCTTGTCACGGAATCATATTTTCTCGTAAAATTCTTGATCATCGTTCCTCATAAGTTAAAGCTATAAATTTAAGAAATTAAGTAACTTGGATAGTTCACGTATTTTGTGTATTTATTCAAGGCAATTAAAGTCATTTTGTCGTTTTGTTATGATAGCTGATGTATGTCGTTCAGCTCATTTAAATTACTGTCTGGAAGAACGCTCACGCTAATGATGTATAACTTAGAACATCTATTTCAGAAAACATGCATCAATTAATCATACCGACTAGGAGTTTTCGTTTAGTCCGTGATAATTTATAATTGAAATCATTTCTAAAATACCGTGCGTTTGAACAAAACACAACGGAAAAACAATATTTAGTTAAAGGTTCCGTAGAAATAAAATACCGGTAATATTGGAAAATATCAATAGAATATGGTATATCTCCGTGAGAACACTTTATTAGCAATACAGATGCCGGAGAAGTGAGTATATGATTTTTTATTTAATAGTTTTGGTTGTATTTAATGTAGTTATATCTTAAAGATTAAAGTGTATGAAATATTATAAACAAAATCAACAAGGAAATGCGGCGTTCATTGAGGTTTGTTACTCATGCTACTAAATCATGCTTTAGTCTTAGCAGATTTGATTGAAAACGATATAGATGTGATTTTTTATTTTGTATTTTCTTTAAGTATAAATTTTTACTATTTAAATTCATTTGTTAATTTCCTTTATAATTAAACTTTCGTTTGGAAGGTATGCTTGAATTCTTTTTTATTGAAGTATTTCTGTTATTAATGCATACCTTGAACTTGAACACATTTGACCCAGTTTAACAAAACTGCAATACTAATGTTAATTCAGTCTGCTTTACGCAAAAAAATAAAATTCAATTTATAGTTGAAAAGCAATGCGGGCGGAATATATTATGATAATTAAGGGGTCTATGCTATATAGCATAAGTTTTACCTTCAAAGATGTATGTTAGATAATTTTAGTCTTAAACGACAGTATATGCTTTTTTATTTCAGGTTTTTAAATGAATACATCGAAAATGCAACGATATTTACACGTTTTATTAGCATTTGTTATAAAATCTGACATAATAGCTTCATGCGTTAACACAACAGAGGCAAATAATCTCTATTCAAGCCTCCTTAATGATTACAACAGCAAACTATTGCCCCTCACAAATCAAAGTGAAGCGGCGGAAGTTGGTGTTTTTGTTTATCTACGTAGTATCAACACTTTTGATGAACTGTCCGGTGAATTAGCGTTAACATTAATATTCAACTTCACATGGACGGAACAACGTATGTCATGGTCTCCTGAAGATTATGACGGGAAAACATCTCTTCTTATAGCACCGGAAGACATATGGCGACCAAAAACTTTTGTACGTGAATCGTTTGATAATATACAAGAAATTGGCCAAGGATCTGAAATGTTAAGGATCAACTATGAAGGAATAGTTGTGTGGACAATGGGTTCTGTTACAAAAATCACTTGTCCAGTTGATGTGACATTTTTCCCGTTTGATAGCCAATATTGTTCTATAACTTTGACTTCCTTTACAGTCAGGAGTGAAGATGTAATGTTTCTTTCGTTAAAGCCATCTCTAATCACAACCTATTGGACTGAAAACAGTCAGTGGTTATACGGAAATAGCACTGTTTACAACTTTACTATTCCTGATGGCCCATCTGGAATTAAAATTAACTTCACATTAAAGCGGCGAAGTGAATTTTATACAATTTATATAGTAGCACCATTAGTGTTTCTTGGAGGGATGAATAATCTTGTGTTTTCTATGCCAGCCTCGTCTGGAGAGAGGACATCGGTGGCTATCACAGCGTTCTTGTCATTTGCAGTTTACATGCAGATAGTAAACAACAATGTTCCACAAAGTTCATCTCCTATTGCATATATTTATTACTATTTAATGTTTCTTTTATTGTATAGTTCATATATAATGTTTATGTGCATAGTGTCTATGCGAATATATGACAGGAAAGGGAAAATACCGGTCGTTACTAGATATCTTGTATATTGTTTAAAATGTATGTGTTTTAAAAGGATGTGCAAAATTGGAAAAATATATATTGGTAACGACAAAACGCCCACAAGAGTGTTCAATGAAATAGAAACAGATTTAAGCAATGGTCAAATCACTAATGTTGATTGTGGCCGAGTTGAATCTGATAAAGATCAGTCAAAGGAAGACTCCAAAGTAGATGATGATCTAACTTGGACAAATGTCGGAGAAACATTTGATACTTACTGTACATGGTTTAATTTTTCGGTGTATTGGACAATTACAGGTTTTACAATAATATGTCTGTATTCAAATGCAGAAATTTTGAAATCGTTTCGATAATACCATATAAAACAATAAAAGTTTGGTTTAACCGCATGTTTAACGACCAATTGATGTATAGCAGTTTAATAGAAAATTTAATAAATTATTAGAGAAAAACAATAATATAATTAGACTAATCGAAAAAAGTATTAATTTTGCAAATATCAAAAAGGCTAATATCATAGTCATCAAAAACATTATTTGTTCGATGGAAAATACAATAATAAAACTTATCATTTTGCAATTAATTCATCCCATGTAAATTATTTGGTTTCTGTAAATTGAAATATTTTATGATTATGCCATTAAATCTTTTAAACAATAAATTTGTCAATTATATATAAATATATAATTAAAGAAAGACGAATTTCGTCATATTCAATTAAACGTTTTATATGAAAATGTTGCTTAAGCAATGTATAAACGAAATGTTTGCTTCTGCTGATACATCATTTCTTGCAACTGTAATCACAACACAATTCCAAACACAATAAAGCTTACTATATAAATTAACAAAACGTTAATTAATTGTATAAATCTGTTGTATTATGTACAGTTAATTAGTATGATATTGATAAATCGTATATTCAATTAACATGTTGATACTACCTATGATAATCACAACATTTGAATCTCATTCACATCCATGTTTTTAATAAAACAATGTTTGTTTTTATGTTTGTAACCCTCACAATATATAAGATCATCATTTAGTAAATATGTAATGGCCGCTTCATGCTCTGTAACACCTCCTATAACAATAAAATATAGCGACAAGACTTTTGAAACCAAATAGTTAGCATTTGTTAGTGACATTTTAACTAAGAATTCGTGTTGTAGCTAGGTTGTTTGGTCTCCATTTTATATTTTAGTAAAGTGTTAATTGCTTATACATAAAATCTTTTTAAAAAGCATGATGTACAACATTTTGAACAAAAGTGCAATAATTGTTGATGTGAGTGTTTATTTGTTTTGTTGACACACCTTTTGCTCATATCTCAGCTGTCAATCTACCTTACCGTTTTCCCGGATAACTTACCAGCAAATACCAATATTTTCGCAAGTTCCTGACTACTAATCCCACATGATTTCTGAATAAAATGAGTATTAGTCTCAAAATCTGAGATTCATAAGTATTTTGCAAGGTGTTACTTTTAATTTGGTAACACAATATCATCATTTTATTTGTGATTGCAATAAAGCTATCAGAGAAGTTTTGTTGTTGTTGTTGTTGTTTAGAATCTTTTTTTTTACATTTTTAATATAATATTTAAATTATGATTGTTGAATGAGTTTAATGTCCGTTCTTAGTTTCTCTCCCTTGTTGGTCTTTCTTTTCATATTTAAGTTAAAACGAGATATATCAGACACGCTAAAATATAATGATTTGCAATATTGTATTCTAATAAATCAGTAGTTTGAATCGATTTGGGCTCTCTTTTTAATTAAGTGTGTCACTTGCATTGGTTTTTGGTAATATTGATTGAATATGTATAAGGCTAATTGAATATCGATTTTATTCAAGTAAATTCCAAACAACATATTTACAAATACGCAACATATTAACAGAAAATGCATACATGTATAAAAAATTCGATTTTCCATCATCATTTTGCCATAATTCATCTGAAATAACTATCAACTTACAAATATACGATTTCTGTATAAAAATACAATACACATAAATGTATATAGAAGTTGTGCCAGCAATGGAAATAAAAATATTAAATGAACAAAAGTACTGAATTGAATTATATCCCTGTGACTTTGGTCTGTTTTGTTAGCCATATCGTCTTGTTGTATGTGACAGTATTAATGTGCCACATTTCAGTAGGCGTATTTGTAGCTTTTGCATGTGTTTTTGTGGAAATAGTCCCTGTTTAATTATTTTTCTTTTTAATTTTTCTTTTATTTTTTTTTATTTCATTTTTTTGGAGGATGTGACGGGGTTGCGTACTTGGGTGCTCTTTAGAGTCTTATATTATTTTTAAGCCTTTTGATACTTTATTATAATATATAAATTTTGAGAAGCTCGTATGACAAGTCTCTATGTTTGAAAGAATCGAACATCCGAAAAGTCATTTTAAATGACTTATTGAATATTTTTATTGTCATTAACAGACCATGTGCACGTCAGTATTATTCAATACATTTTTTTTCAAAGAACTTTCATTAATGTTATAATTCTTTTGGGATAACAATGACATTGTGATATTTGTTGTAACGCCATTCATGCAAGCCATTATTCTTGATCCTATGGTTGATGTAATTTATTGCAAAATCCTTTTATAATGTCATCATAACGTTTTTATTGTTTTAGTGTTCTCAGATCTGCATCATCAATAATTTGTAAATTTTAGATTCCAAAAAATATTATTTAACCAGTAACTGTAATTTAACTGAATGTCATAATGTTAATAATGTTCATTTAAAATTCTGTTTACGTTTAATCAATAGGGAATGACGTCTATACATTGTCCCAATATGAAAGCCTGATTCTACCAGAGGAGATTAAGTTTTAGCTTTATGATAATTTAAATAGTCTAAAGTATTGTTTTGAAAAAGAAAATAAATATGTAATCAATATCATATTCCCTAATGATATTCACTTTATTACAGCGCTTAGAACATTAACGAGTTTTTATGGTACAAAATGTTGTAAATGATAACTATTATCCTCTTGTAGAATCAATTCACCCATAGCTCTAGCAATTTAATTGCTTGACATTTTAATAATAACCATTCAATGTAATGTAATAGAAATATCTGTTATAATGTATTTCAAATCAAATGTTTCAAGAGTTATAAATATGATACATTGAAGTGATTCATTGATGCATGGAAGATTCCAAAAAATGACATATTAAGCTAAATTTAAAAACTTAGATAAAACATCACATGTAAATATTCATTATACGCAAAGTATAATATATTTTAATGATTATATTAATATGTTTACGTATTGATGCGAAATGAATGTATGTATGTGAAATTTATGTAAGCACGCCATAAAATGATAATAAATAATAATGATAAAGAAAATGTGATTCATAAATATCAATAATTCCCTGAAATATTGCAAGAAGTTTGACCGCTGACCAAAGGAATGTAATTTCAGTTCATAACGACAAGTGTTAATTTAGCAGGACAGGTAAATCAAAACATGCAGTTAACCGCTCAAAAGGAAATACATCTTTCTAAATGCGCAAGTTTTCCTGATGAAGAAATTATAACCTTATTTTAACTTTTGCATAAAAGGAACATTAAAAACCTAACAAAAATTAATGTTTTTTTCCTCCATATGTACGTATGTAGGCACTTTTGAAATTATTTACAATTTTCTTTTTGCAGAGAGCTCTAAATCACACAATAATGTTAATTAACAAACCTGAGAACTTTATTGTTATAAATAAATGATTTCAGCTTTGACATTTAGCGTGACTGTTCCTTCGGGGACAAGATAAATTATAAGGAATTGAGAAAAAAGACATGCCGTATGGGTTTGACGTTGGATACAATTCAGTAAATTATTATTGTAAATAATTGAAATATTTTGAGAATGCTGGCATTTTCCATTTGACAAATTTCTCTTCTTCATTTGCATATTGTTCCTGCGTAAATTTGTGTAAACACAACAATTGATGTTGAAAATGTTTTATCTGTATACTAGTATAATAAAGCTTTCTTGTTACATAATTTTCATTTATGAAAACAACACAGAAAATGTAATGTCTATGAAAACATCTGAATTTCTTAAACAAATTATATTAAGCACTATATATTTAAAAAAACACACAAATACAATCATTTCACATATCTAGTTTTATTAACATCAATTTTTCATATTTTCATTTTGAAATTTGACGGTATACACAAGAAACATTTTAAAATATACATTTGTATAAATTTGTTTGCCACAATTATATACTATCATTATTACAAAGAAATGTGAATTTCATTGTTACGTCTTGAGATACGCATATTTACCGCATTGAGAAACTGTGTCAGAATATTTCATATCAATGTAAAAGTAAAAGATATTCAGAAACTGTAGTTTAAATACAATTTTACGAAGGTATGAATGGTCATCGCCAAATATGTCATTAACAGAAGAATATAGCAGCAGGAATCAAATGTCTTACCAACCAATATCCAAGTCACTAAAGGAGTTTCATCAACATATTGACTGAACGATAACTTTACGTTAGTGCTTTTAACGTCAACTTGCTCAGACAAAATGGAGGTTCTCCTCTCAGGCGTTACTTTGTCTTTGTTTCTCTTGAAATACCAACATCGAATACAATAAATCATCTTTTCTATGGACTGAGGAACTGGTGTGTCCTTTTCATAGATACATAACGAGCATATACACAAAAATAAAATGAGAGAGCTGTAAACCAATAGAAAAAGAATATAATAATATATATAAGCCATAGGTTCTGAACTCTCCGGAACAATCGAATTTATCATTTGCATAAAAACAATAAATGACAAAAATGTTGTAATAGCAACTGATGTCCTCTCCCCAGAATTTACAGGCATAACAAACACAAGATTATTTATAAGGCCAAGGAAAACCATTGGAAATATTATGTAGACTACAAAAAAATCACTTCGTCTTTGTAGTTTCAGTATCACAAAAATCGTCGGGGGAAATGATGATATTATATCATAATTGTTCTGTGACGTTGCCGACTGAAGTATCCATTGACTATTGTTGGAAAAAGAATCTTCATTTACTTTCGCACTATTGACGATAAGTAACACTTCGTCGTTTGTGTAAGCCCATCCTGAAACCATTAATAAACATGTCTGGGTATCAAAAGGAAAATACGTCACGTCAACGGAACAAACAATTTTCAAAACACTTCCAATATTCCACATGACGAGGCCATTCGAGAATAACCGTGCCATCAACGATACATTCGTTATCTCCTGGAGTGTGTCATATGATTGTAGAAGATAAAGTTGTGGTCGCCAAATGTCTTCTGAAGCCACTAACAACACCGATTTGCCACCATATTGAGAAGGTGTCCATATCAAGTTTTCGTCAATCCATTGAAAATTGAAATACATTGTAATTTCTATTTCGCCAGACAGCTCATCGAAATTATTTATACTTATGATTCCTATCGTGACATTTATTTCCATTGAATTGTTGTGATTTATCAATGGAAAAAGTTTCTTGTTATAGTTCTTGAACAAGTTTGTGTATAAACCTTCGACCTGTGTTATATTTGAGCAGTGAATGTATTCAAGTTGAAATAATAAAAAAGTCACAATTAATAGCTTGTAATCCATATTTATTGTAGTTATCTATTGTTTCAACTGACTTATTGTCTCGTTATCGTATAAATGTACAACAAATATATTTCACAATATTCCATATGACTTATAAGGAATTAAATATTTGCAGGTTTCTGTCACCTTCGGCGTTTTATGATAAATAATTACCAGATGTACCAAAATATTAAAAACTGATGTAGAACTTGAATACTTCCATGGTCATCTGATAGACAAACTTTGGTACCAATCTGTTCAAGAAGACCTCTAAACTTTATTTGATATCTTCGTGTTCTGGTTTACGTCATTGACAAATGATTCAAAGATCTTAATTTATGAATATCTTTTCATAGTTACATTTTCACGCTTTCACATATATCATAATCCGGAAACGCTTTCACAAAGTACACGTGTAAAGCAAGGAACGATATAAGAAATACTGTAGAGTCCGACATTTTATTATGCACAAAACAAGGCATACATACAGATGTCGATAACTAACAGTTAACTATATTTCCGATTCAGTTCGTATACTACTTTTGTTGTTTTCAAATATTTTCAGAAATAAAAATGACATTGTTATATATATCCTCTGAATTCTTAACTTTTTTCCAAATATATTTACGTGTATTATACATTGTTAATGATTAAAACAGTCCAACTAATTGACGAGACTCACAGAATTAAATGTTTTTCTGAGATACTCAATGAAAACAATGACTGGCTATGGAACATATAATAATAGCTGTTCAAATAGTTCAATCACGTGCTACAAAAACAAGAACTGAATTATTGTTAGTCCATCAGTCCAATCGAAATATTGATAAACATTAATAGAAAAGTTTAGATATGGAATCACGATCAATAAACATAATGATGAGAGCACACATTGAGTGATCATTAGAGACCGTTTTAATGCGTTAATAGGTAGTGTCGCCATGATTTTTCAAAATTGATTTAATTAAGAACCCTTACAAAATCTCACATGTAGACGTTATAAGAGGTTAAAACACGGCAGAGTAGGACCGGTTTGCTAATCAGATAATGGCGGAGAATAAAACCCCAGAGACCTGACACATAGTTTATTTCATTTATTGGTACGAAAGACTAATAGAACCAAGTTGCAAGTTTGTTTCTCTCAAACTGCTATGGATATTTGTAGATTTTTATGGGGGGGGCGGGGGGCGTTGGAGTTAGGAGATTCTTTGCGTTTCAGTTAAACTGGTCATAAATTTCATAAGATCAATGTATCATTACTATTACTGTAAATCATTATGAAATCTTGTACGCTCATCCGAATGTGGTTAAAGTTTGAATTTCAATTAGCATTTATATCACACTTTTTAAAGATGAAAATAATAAAAAAACAATTTTGACGAGTGTTTTTGTAATATATACAACTGTTTACCGACGAACGCCGTGACAGTTATTCAAAGAAGTCGTGACAAGTTATCATATGAACTCATTCTGATAACTCAATCCTTCGTGTAACAGTTCCTATCCCGTGTGATTACTAGTATGACTTTCTGGCCCTGAGGATAGTTAACTCTCATAATTAGTCAATGACATTCATAACCAGTTGAAATAATTTTTTACTTTGATAGTTTTGACTTGATGTCATTTGCGTAATATAAACTTATTAGGATAAAGACGCGCTAAATATTAGCGCTACCACATGAACTCCCTGGTTAGCCTTACGTTACATCGCCCTACCTAGCATGTTTGACGACATTTTTAATTTCGTGGTTTTGGGCGTTCTTTGAGGCTTCTGCTTTTCCCTATATTATGGCAAACATACTGTACAAATGGCGGATTTAAATGACGATTGCCGAGGAAGGCACATTTCTGTACTGCATTTTTCATCATAAAATTACTAACGTAAATGACTTGTCTTACAAAATGAATATCCACACCATTTGTCCGCTGTGTCATACTTCAGCAATGAATATATTCATGCAGATGGAGTAAAATGATTACAATGAGAAGTTTACACTCCATATTCATCGTGGTCTCCATACTTCTATTTTAATTGACACGTAATTATCGTGTGAATTGTATCAACATTTTTTACACTAAACAAAATGATCACTTGATTACAGAAGAATTAAATATTTGCAGCCGTTAATCATCTTTCGTGCATATATGATATCTGGTCACCTTCTATGTTTAAGATTTACATGTATGCTTTTCGGATGCACGAAGGATATTAAGAATTGATCTATAAGTTTGATAAACTTACATCAACATCGTTTAAACAAAATGATATAGATTTAAATAGACTGAAAACATCTATAAATCGAAATGTTAATGCCACGTAAAGTATCGACCACAATTACAATTGTATATACTGATACATCAATATTTTGCATACATTTAGATAAATTACTCGTTACGTTTTTATACAAAATATTCTCTACTCATGATTAGTAAACTTTTGTGTTTTTGTATTTGTATTTTTTTTGTTAGAAATAAAATGTATTTGGGGCAATCATTGATTTTGTACGTTGGTAGCAGGAGGGGAATCAAACAATATTTTATTTCAGGCTTGAGGACCTGTTACTTTAAAAAATATTGTGTATGTCGGTATTTTAAAATTACTTTCGTATAGAAACAACACACATTTAAACGCCTGTACAGAAGGATTCGAACCCACAGTGGTGAGGTAAGAGTGGTTTGAAGTCAATGACCACTCGGGCACGGACGCCTTTGACTTGTCACGGTATCATATTGACCCGCAGAATTCTTGGTCATCGTTCCTCTTGAGTAAAAGCTATTAATTTTAGGAATTAAGTAACTCTGGTAGTTCACCTATATAGTATGTGTAATATATTGATTTATTCAAGGCAATTACAGTCAATTTACGGTTTTCATATGAAAGCTGATTACTTAAATGATGCATGTCGTTCAGCTCATTTAAATTACTATCTAGAAGAACGCACACGCCAATGAAGTATAACTCATCGAATCTTTTTCAGAACAAATACATCAATTAATCATACCGCCCAGGAGTCCGTGATAATTTATTGAAACATAACTGAAATCATTTCTAAAATATTGTACAATTGAACAAAACATCGGAGATAACAATATTCAGTTAAAGGTTCTGTAGAAACAAAATAACGTGCGTATTTCGTAATATTGGAAGAATACAATGTAATACGGTTTATCTAGGTGAGAAGACTTTATTAGCAATACAGCAACTGAAGAGGTGAGTATACGATTTTTTATTTAATAGTTATGGTTGTATTAAATGGATTTATATCTTGAAGATTAATAATCAAAGGTTGTTAACCGTGCTACAAAATCATGCTTAAGTCTTAGCATATTAATTTAATTGAAAACGATATAACTGTGATTATTCATTTCGTGTTTTCTTAAACTATAAATTAAGATTACAAAATTCATTTGTTAATTTTCGTTTAATAAAATTCCTTTATAATAACACTTTATTATTGATGTAACTCTGAACATCTTTGACTCAGTTTAACAAAACTGCAATGCTAATTTAGTCTGATTTACGCAAATTTATTATAATTTTATAATTAAATTCATCATTTGAATTACATGCAGACGGAAATAAAACGTTAAGTATATTTATAATAAAATATATACTAAGCTCGTCTTTGGGTAAAATACTTTTATTGCAGGAATGTATTGAAATGAAGGACATTCTTACTAAATATTTCTAATTTGAAAAAGAAAGAGCAAAAGCTATGTTTGGGAGCTGCATTCCCTTCCCTGCAACTGGTCAAGTTAATGTGGTCCTTATTCTTTAAAAAGAAACTGCCAGTTTTTTAATGACATGATGAATTCATACTGTGTTTACCTATAATGAGTAGGGATTGAAACGTAACAATTATGCTCTGTGTATAGTAAAAAGGTGTCTATTGTACATTTAAAAACATTCAAATTTGAGCAACATACATCTATGCTATATTCAATGCCATATAGCGGAAGTTTTACCTTCAAAGATTTGCGTTGGATAGCCTTAGTAATAAATTAAATTATATGCTTTATTTTTCAGGGTTTTAAATGAATACATTCGAAAATGCAAAAATATTTACACGTTTTATTAGCATTTGTCATAAAATCTGACATAATAGCTTTATGCCTTAACACAACAGAGGCAAACAATCTGTATTCAAGCCTCCTTATTGATTACAACAGCAAACTATTGCCCCTCAAAAATCAAAGTGAAGCGGCGGAAGTTGGTGTTTTTGTTTATTTACGTAGTATCAACACATTTGATGAACTGTCCGGTGAATTAGCGTTGACATTAATATTTAACTTCACATGGACGGAAGAACGTATGTCATGGTTACCTGAAGATTATGACGGGAAAAAATCTCTTCTTATAGCACCGGAAGACATATGGCGACCAAAAACTTTTGTACGTGAATCGTTTGATAATATGCAAGAAATCGGCCAAGGATCTGATATGTTAAGGATCAACCATGAAGGTATAGTTGTGTTGACAATGGGTTCTGTTACAAAAATCACTTGTCCAGTTGATGTGACATTTTTCCCTTTTGATAGGCAATATTGTTCTATAACTTTGACTTCCTTTACAGTCAGGAGCGATGATGTAAGGTTCCTTTCTTTAAAACCATCTCTTATTACAACCTATTGGACTGAAAACAGTCAGTGGTTTTACGAAAATAGCAGTGTTTACAACTTTGCTATTCCCGATGGCCCATCTGGAATTAAAATCAACTTCACATTAAAGCGGCGAAGTGAATTTTATGCAATTTATATAGTAACACCATTAGTGTTTCTTGGAGGGATGAATAATCTTGTGTTTTCTATCCCAGCTTCGTCTGGAGAGAGGACATCGGTGGCTATCACAGCGTTCTTGTCATTTGCTGTCTACATGCAGATAGTAAACAACAATGTTCCACAAAGTTCGTCTCCTATTGCATATATTTATTACTATTTAATGTTTCTTTTATTGTATAGTTCATACATAATGTTTATGTGCATAGTGTCTATGCGAATATATGACAGGAAAGGGAAAATACCGATCGTTACTAAATATCTTGTATATTGTTTAAGATGTATGTGTTTTAAAAGGATGTGCAGAATTGGAAAAATATGTATTGGTAACGACAAGACGCCCACAAGCGTGATCAATGTAGTAGAAACAGATTTAAGCAATGGTCAAATCACTAATGTTGATTGTGAACGAGTTGAATCTGATAAAGATCAGTCAAAGAAAGACTCCAAGGAAGATGATGATATAACTTGGACACATGTCGGAGAAACATTTGATATTTACTGTTCATGGTTTAATTTTTTGGTGTATTGGACAATTACCGGTTTTACAATAATATGTCTGTATTCAAATGCAGAAATTTTGAAATCGTTCCGATAATACCATATAAAACAATAAGAATTTGATTTTAACGCGTGTCAAACGGCCATTTGATGTATAGCAGTGTAATTAGACGCCGCTTGCAAGCGGTGTCTAGTAGATATGCATTTGTCCATACAGCCATGGGGAAAATTTTAGACTTAATGGTGTGTATTCTTTTTGTTTAACAAAATCACACTGTTTTTAAATTTTCTAATAAAAATAGCTTTTATGATGTACAACATGTCACAGAGCTTTAAGGGATTAGAATAAACGTTTAACTGAAGTGATAGTGCCATGTTTGAATATCATACTCTTTTTATCATTATCTAATTTTATTACATAATAAATCACGTGCCAATGAGCCAGTCTGTAGTCGATCGTTCTAAAACTTAACCGTTGAGAGAGGTGACAACTGAGGCAGTGTCACTTGCCTCATTTGTTTCGCCTCTGTTGAAGTTCGGCTCCGCCTTAAATTGTCATATAAATTTGATATTATGCTCCATATGCAAGCATTTAGTCTTCGTTTACGGGGTAGAAGGGAACCAGGACAACTTTGATCAATATCACTTGTCGAATCATTAAATTACAAGTTACAAAGCCTAAACCACGCCCACTATCAGAGAGGCGGTTCTCACTCAACCGTTAAGTAAGTACAACAAACCTGTTACGCTACGGCCTGTAAGGGGAGATCACTGCAGAACAGTTTGTCCTCAAAATCATTCGAACATTATGCAATTCGTACCAATATTTAAATGGGTATATTCTCGGCACATATTGTCTTGAATTTATTTTAAGTATACCAATTATTTCAATTTTATTTGTTATCCAATTTATTTTGATTCGACCAGACGTTTCAGTCTTTGTCGCAACAGACAAGCATTGAAGAATGTCAGACCTGGCATTATTTTGTGAATTTATGCATTAGGTTCTACTTTTTCACAAAAAATATGCATCTTTATTATTAAACAACGAGCACATACCAAGAACATGGAGAAAAAATTGATTTGTGCTTCGGATATTCAACTGTAATAGAGAACGATTTTCAATGCTGATTGACTGTTCACATCATTTGGCGGCGTCTTTGATGTGCAGCATCAACATTTAACTTGTAGAAAATTTGATAAATTAAAAAAGAAAAACAATAATATAGTTAGACTTATCGAAAAAAGTATTTGCTTATATCATAGTCATGTTTCGTTCTATGGAAAATACAATAATTAAAATTATCATTTTGCAATTAATTCATCCCATGTAAATCATTTGGTTTCTGTTAATTGAAATATTTTATGATTATGCCATTAAATCTTTTAAACAATAAATTTGTCAATTATATATAAATATATAATTAAAGAAAGACGAATTTTATCATATTCAATTAAACGTTCTATATGAAAATGTTGCTTAAGCAATGTATAATCGAAATGTTTGCTTCTGCTGATACATCATTGCTTGCAACTGTAATCACGACACAATTCCAAACACAATGAAGCTTACTATATAAATTAACAAAGCGTTAATTTATTGTATAAAACTGCTGTATTATGTACAATTAATTAGTACGATATTAATATATCGCATTTTCTTTTAACATGTTGATCCTACCTATGATAATCAAGACATTTAGATCTCATTCACATCCATGTTTCTAATCAAGAAATGTTTGTTTTTATATGTTTAGAAAAGTTTAAATTGCTTTTTCATAAAATGCTTAAAAAACATAGAACATAAATGCAATAATTGTTGATATGATTGTTTATTTGTTTTGTTGACAAACATTTTGGTCATATCTCGGCTGTCAATCTACCTTACCGTTTTGCCTGGATAACTTACCAGCAAATACCAATGTCTTCGCAAGTGCCCGACTACTAATCCCACATGATCCCTGAATAAAATGAGTATTATTAGTCTCAAACTCTGAGATCAACTGTCGAACAGAAAAAGTACCTCGCCCGAACCAGCGACCATTTTATTACAAATCCGATATTCTTACTAGTGAACTAAGCGGATGTACAAATGTGATATCTAGTGGTAACAGCCGTGCACCTTTACCCTTTCGTGTTTTTTTCTTCTTGTGGGTGAAAAAAATGTCAATATTTCATATTATAAAACAGGAAACAATTGATATCATTGACATTTAACTTACCGAAAAGGGGAAACATTTTGCAAGGCGTTACTTTTAATTTCGTAACACTACATCATCATTTTATTTTTTTATTTGTGATTGCAATAAAGCAATCAGAGAAGGTTTTTTTGTTGTTTTTGTTACTGTTGTTGTTGTTGTTTATAATTTTTTATTTTTTAATATAATATCTAAATTATGATTGTTGAATGAGTTTAATATCCGTTTTAGGTTTCTCTCCCTTGTTGGTTTTTAATTTCATATTAAAGTTTAAACGAGATATATCAGTCACGCTAAAAGTTAATGATTTGCAATATTGTATTCTAATAAATCAATAGTTTGAATTGCTTTGGACTCTTTTTTTACTTAAATATATCACTTGCATTGGTACTGCGTAATTAAATATTATATTGAATATGTAGAAGGCTAATTGGATATCAATTTTAATCAAGTAAATTCCAGACAACATATTTACAAATACGCCACATATTAACATAAAATGCATACATGTAAAATAAATCAGCAGTCCTGTACATGATAAATATTTCAACATCATTTCTGCCATAATACATCCAAAGTAACTATTAACATACAAATATACTATTTCTGTATAAAATACAATACACATAAATGTATATAGAAGTTGTGCCAGCAATGGAAATAAAAATATATAATGAACAAAAGTACTGAATAATATATATCCCTGTGGCTTTGGTCAGTTTTGTCAACCATATCGTCTTGTTGTATGTGACATTATTAATGTCCCACAATGCAGTAGGCGTATGTGTAGCTATTGCATGTGGTTTTTTTGGAAATAGTCCTTGTTTAATTTTTTTTTTTCGGAGGATGTGACGGGGTTGCGTACTTGGGTGCTCTTTGAGTGCTATATTATTTTTAGGACTTTTAATACACTATTCTTATATGTAAATTTTGAGAAGTTCGTATGTCAAGTTTCTAAGTTTCAAAGAATTGGATATCCAAAAAGATTTTTTAAATGACGGATTCGTTTGAATATATTAATTTTCATAAACAGACCATGTGCACGTCAGTTTTATTCAATACATTTTCAAAGAACTTTCATTAATGTAATAATTCTTTTGGGATACCATTGACATTGTGACATTTGTTCTAAGGCCATTCATTCAAGTCATTATTCTTGATCCTATGATTGATGTAATTTATTGCATGTCATCATGATCGTTTTTTATGTTCTGGTTTTCACAGATCTGCATTTAATCAATAATTTGTAAACTTTAGATTCCAAAATAGATTATTTAACCAGTAACTGTAATGTTACTGCATGTCATAAATGATATTTTAATTTTAAGTTGTGTTTACCTTTATTCAATAGGGAATGCCTTCTATAGAATGCCCTAATATGAACGTCAGATTCTCCTATAGGGATTGGTGTTGATAATATAAATAATTTAAAATATTGTTGAAAATTAATGTTATCAAATATCATATTTCCCTAATGGTCTTAACTTCATTAAAGCGCGTAGAACATAAACGAACTTTGATGGTACAAATGTTGTAAATTATAACAATTATGTTCTGATGAAAACCACCCTTTCATAGTTCTACTAATTTGATTACTTTACATTTAATAGACATTCAATATAATGTAATGTGAAATATATGTTGTATTTCGTTTCAAATAAAAAATTTTCAACAGTTATAAATATGATACTTAATAGTGGTAATAAGTGAATTATGATACATGGAAGATTCCAAATTATAACATATGAAGTAAAATTTAAGAACTACATAAATATTACGTATAGATATGAATAAACAAAATATAATATAATTTAACTAGTATATCGATATGTTTATATATTGATGTGAAATGAATGCATGTATGTGAATTTTAATAAAATATAATAAATAATAATAAAGAAAAAGTGATTCATATATATCAGTTATTCTCTGAAATATTGCAATAAGATTATCCTCTGAACAATGTAATGCAATTTCAGTTCATCATTAAGCAGGACAGGTAAATCAAGACATGCAGTTAACCGTTCAAACGGAAATACATCTTTCTAAATGCGCAATTCTTTACTTATGAAGAAATTGTTAACTGTTAAATAAAAGGAACATTAAAAAACTAAAAAACGGTTAAATGTTTTCCCCATGTTTATTTTTTTCTCTATATCTATGTTGGCTTTTTTTAACATATGTACATATTTCTTTTGCAGAGCTTTGAATCACACACTAATTTTAACTAACATACCTGGGAACTTTATTTTTTTTAAATCAATAATTTCAACTTTGACTATTAGCTTGACTTTTCATCGGAGACAAGATGAATTATAATGGCTGGAGAAAAGAGACATGTGGTATAAAATAGAGAAAAGCGGAATCGGTAAAAAAAATTCAAAAAGACAAAATTGAAAATGTTGCAGGCTCGGTTTGATTGCGCCTGTTCATGAATGGTACTGGAAAGCGCAAGTTAACGTCCATGTCCACTAGCACCGGCTTAAGAAGAACTCAACATTGACCATGAAAATGGTGGAATTTGAATTTTAGAAACATCCACATACGGCTGTTATCATGAAATCTTCAATATGACTCGTTTGTCCCATTCCATAAATTATGTATAATTATTATTATAAAATAGAGAAAAACAGAATAGTATAAATATTAGAAAAAGAATATTGAGAATGTTCGCGTTTTCCATTTGACAAATTATCTTCTCCATTTGCAAATTGCTCTTAGATAAGAATTGGCGTTGAAAATATTTTATCTATACACATGCATATTATATTTTTCCTTTGACAAAACTTTTATTTATTAAACAACACAAAATATGTGAGTTTATTGAACACCTTATCTCCTTAAACTCATATTAAGCAAAATTTATATTTAAAAAACGATATACAATCATGCTGTATATTCAGGTTTATTAACATCTATATTTTGCATTTTAACATTTTTCATTTTGAAATTTGATAATACACAGAAGAAACATTAAAAAATATACATTTGTATAAATCTGTACTATTTATACTATTGTATTAAGAAATATGAATGTAATTTTCATTTATCATTGTAATATCAAACACTATGTATATACAGATATAAGTGCATTGCGAATCTATATCAGAATAGTTCATATTATTTTATGCTTTTCAGTCGATTACTGATTTATCCGTGAAAAATATATTTTAAAATTTCAAAGTGAAAATTATCAAAATATAATTTCACACTTTTCAATGACGAAACTACTTTTTTAAGTTTTTCCCAATGTGGTACCTCAATTTTATTTTTGCTGACAATTCTGAGAAACGCAAAGCTTAACTTGATAAACAACTTGAATTTCAAAAGTAATGAAAAGAAGAAAACTTTCATCAATTCATTCGAATTACCAATCACCAAATATCGTCTTTAAATTTTTTGCTTACTTTTCAGTCTGAAAAATGCAATTCCTTCCACATGCAAAACTGCTCTTGGTGACATTTGGGCATATTTAAGTATCCTACCAGCAAAAACTGCCAAATGCAATGTGAAAACTTGAAAAGCAATGGCAGCCATCAGCCCGAAAAAAATGGCGACCGCTTACATTTCACAAAGCCAGGTCTAATATAAATTAGCCGTAAGTAACGAAATAAGGTCGGATATTGTAACTTTTTCTTTTACTGTATTGTTTGTTTTTATTATTAAAAGAAGAGATCATTCATATTGTTTTGAGTAAAATGAATAATATCAAGCCATTTAACGTTGATTGTCGAACTTATTTTTTTCAGCCCAAGACTTCTTGTATTTTATGAGAAATTTGACTAATAAAGACTACCAGTTTCAATGTTTAAGTTAATATTAAGGAAACTTCGTTTAAACTTGTTTTTGAGCATCAAATAAAAAGAAAGTTTGTTTGTTTGTTGTGTAAGATGTAATTTTATTTCATCTCGTGAACTTTAAAAACAGTATTCTCGCTCTTGCTTACGCCACTCGTGAGAATACTGTTTCTAAAGCCCACTCGATGAAATAAAATTTCATCTTACACACAAACAAACGAATATCCTCCATTAAATGTATATAAAAGATATTCAGAAACTAGTTAAAATATAATTTTACGAACGTATGAATGGTTACCGCCAAATATGTCAACAACAGAAAAACATAGCAGCAGAAATCAAATGTCTTGCCAACCAATATCCAAGTCACTAAAGGAGTATCATCAACATGTTGACTGAATGATATCTTTTCGTTAATGCTTTTTACGTCAACTTGCTCAGACAAAATGGATGCTCTCCTCTCAGGTGTTACTTTGTCTTTGTTTTTCTTGAAATACCAACATCGAAAACAATAAATCATCTTTTCTATGGACGGAGGAACTGGTGTGTCCTTGTCATAGATACATAACGAGCATATACACAAAAATAAAATGAGTGAGCTATAAACCAATAGAAAAAGAATATAATAATATATATAAGCCATAGGTTCTGAACTCTCCGGAACAATCGAATTTATCATTTGCATAAAAACAATAAATGACAAAAATGTTGTTATAGCAACTGATGTTCTCTCTCCAGAATTTGCAGGCATAACAAACACAAGATTATTTATAAGGCCAAGGAACACCATTGGAAATATTATGTAGACTACAAAAAAATCACTTCGCCTTTGTAGTTGTAGTATCACAAAAATCGTCGGTGGAAATGATGATATTATATCATAATAGTTCTGTGACGTTGCCGACTGAAGTATCCATTGACTATTGTTGTAAAAATAATCTTCACTTACTTTTGCATCATTCACGAAAAACAACACTTCCTCGTTTGTGTAGGCCCAGCCTGAAACCATTAATAAACATGTCTGGGTATCAAAAGGAAAATACGTCACGTCAACAGAACAAACAATTTTCAAAACACTTCCAATATTCCACATGACTTGGCCATTCGAGAATAATCGTGCCATGACTGAATTGTTACTTATCTCCTGGAGTGTGTCATATGATTGTAGAAGATAAAGTTGTGGTCGCCAAATGTCTTCTGGAGCTACTAACAACACCGATTTGCCGCCATATTGAGATGGTGTCCATACCAAGTTTTCATCAGTCCATTGCAAAGTGAAATACATTGTAAGTTCTATTTCACCAGACAGCTCATCGAAATTATTTATACTTACGATTCCTATCGTGAAATTTATTTCCATTGAATTGTTGTGATTTATTAATGGAAAAAGTTTCCTGTTATAATTCTGGAATAAATTTGTGTATAAACTTTCGACCTGTGTAATATTTGAGCAGTGAATGTATTCAAGTCGAAATAGTAAAAAGTTCACGATTAATAGTTTGTAATCCATTGTAATTATGGTCTTCATCGCAGCTTAAAACATGATTTTTATTGTTTCAACTGACTTATTTTATCATCATCGTATAAAAATTAACAACAAGTATATTTCACAATATTCATCATGACTTTTAAGCTAAAGGGGAATTGAATGTTTGCAGGTTTCTGTCACCTTCGGCTTTTTATGATAAATAATTATCAGATGTACCAAAAATGCACGTGAAAAACAATTAGCGATTAAGAAATTTAGTCTGTCATTTATTCATTCACAAAATAAGATGTTGAACTCACATTTTGGTAAACAAACGGTAAACTGCATTCCCGATTCACTTTATATTGCTGATGTATTCAAATATATTTTCAGTAATAAACTGGCATTGTAGAGATATATCCTTAGATTTGCAATGCAAATGCAAAAGAAATATTTATTCCAAATAAGTGAGAGACTGTTTTCCATTTTGTTGTTGCTGCTGTTATTGTTGTTGTTTTTTTCCACAAACATATTTACGTGTAATTATTAAAACATAATTGCAGGGCTAACATAACTAGTGTTTTTTCTTGAATACTCAAACCATTGACTGACGATAAACCAAATAATAAAAGCCGTTCAAAAAGTTCAATCACGCGCTACGTAAACTAGAACTGTATTATTGTCAGTCCATTGTTAAAGGAAAGAATGGTGAAATTGAAATATTGATAAACATTTATAGAACAGTTCAGGTATGGAATCATAATCAATAATTACAGTTCCAATATTTTGAAAGTACACATTAAGTGATCATTATGGACCCGTTGTATGTGTTAATAGCCAGCAAACAATATTTAATTGTATAAATCTATGCCCGGTCATGACTTTTCTAAACTGATTTAAGAACCCTTACAAAATCTGATACCTGTACGTAATAAGAGGTTAAAACACGGCAGAGTAGGACCGGCAGGTTAATATTGGTTTGCTTAATAAATTATGGCCCCAAGGACTTCAGCCTGAGATTCATTATTTATAAAGGATTATTTGCGTTTCAGTTAAACTTGTCTTAAAATCTAGTCATCATTACTATAAACCCCGCCTAGACTGCGTTGACATTTGACCGATTTTTCACGCGCTTATGTTAAGCGGGCCGATTATGATCCCGTGTCACAAAACTCATAATCGGTCATATGACATTCATAACAAGTTGAAATATTTGTTAAATTTGTTAATATTTATAGTAACATGTGACTTATCATCACATACCCGTGACGTCTTAACTGCGACTCAGAAAAAAAATGATGCTGCACTGCCATTCGTATGTATTGACTTGACGTCATTTACGTATGAACACATCGATCTGCGGATGTTTCTAAATTCAAAATCTTACCATTTCATGTTTAAATGTTGGAATCTGCTTAAACCGGTGCTAGGGGCGTGGAGGATAGTTTGAACTTAACGGTACCGTCCAGGAACAAGTTCAGTCGAATCAAGCTTGCAACACTTTTAATTTTTGCCGTGTTGGGCTTACTTTTGGGTATTCTTATTTTCTCTATTTTATAATAACAACAAGCAGGTGTTATGAGGCTGTCAAAAAGTTGCCACGTACTTTAAATCAGTGTCTTCATGTTTAACATCACGGGTTTCAATATTTCAAATGTTAAAGATCGAAAATACAATAAAATCATGCCGTTGAATATACAAAACATACGGAAAATAGATACGGAAAATACTTGAATGTTTACAAACAGATTTTCTTTAAGAGATAAAATATTTTAGCAATAAAATTGCTTTAATATGTACAAGTTAGTTGGTTTTATGTTTTACGGAATTAAAAGGGAAGATATTCACGTTAGTGTTGAAATTCAAGTATGCTTTCATTGTAGGATTTACTGATAGGAATTCTTTTATTTTGAATATAAATTTTCAGATGGAACCTCTTTTCTAGCATAACGAATAACGTCGTGCAATAGATGGGCAGGTACAAACAACTTTTTACCGTTTAAGCTTAACGGTGCACTACCGGTCAACCTGTTTCGATTATTTTCTAAGCTGTAAACGGTAACCCCGGATTAGCTGGGGAAAACACAAAATATTCTTGATTTCGGAGAAAGTCTTTTGTAGATAAGCTAAACAAACTTTTTTCTGATTTCTGATTCATGAACTATATTACATTTATCAACGCGTAATAATTGTCTAAAGTTGCCTCTGTCACAGACATTATGCTTTAAAATATAAACCTAAAATACAAAAACATAGATACACCTTGTTGTCGCTATGAGTCGCAGCCTGCAAGATGGAGTAGAAAAAGAATAAACTATAGTCAAATTTGATTGTGCTTTATTCCTTTATATACATGTATATTCAAACCAATAATATATTTCTAAAGTTTTTGGGTTTTACAAAGGCTAGTTTATATTTAGTATCATCAAAAGGTAATATCTACACTGACATTGAAACAGAAATAATATTTACATTTTTAGAAATGTTCCTGGCAACATAAACAAGTTTGTTTGTTTACCCATACGTTTTGTCATTCCAGTTTGACGCTTCTAGGGAACAATAATGCAATACAAATTATTTTACATTATTTATATTGACAAGGAATGACACTGATAGTGCATGCAAAGGGAAAATGTTTGAATAATTAGAGTGAGTAAAGAAGTGACATTGAAATCATCGATCAAGATAACAGAAATAATCAAAGTGCTGCAGCACTGAATGCGACGGACATGCAACCGGAGAGACATTAAGGCTTTTTTTAGAAAAAAAAAAAACAAAATCGAAACACAAAATATATAACAAAGAAAATTTGTTCCATACAAGTTCGAGATTTGTAGAGCAATATATTTTGTGTCCCAAACTGATATAATTTAGATTTTTTACTTTCAAGCACTTAAATACAGAATGAAATTTATGCCTTAAAACTCTGGTCAAACTTGTAAATCAGTGTCCTTATCGATTTATTCCAAGAAATGATATGTAAATAGAAAAAAAAATATACTGTCAACGAAATATTTCTAAAATAAAACCATGCAAATATACTTCAAGCATAATACATTATACATTTGAGAATGCTATTTAGAATTGCCTCGTGTTATATCATAGTGGACATATAGACAATAAAATATAAGTCATTTGTATTTTTATTTCTCTTGGATATGTCTCATTAAAAAAAAAAAATGGTTAAAATCATCAGCAATTAATAGTGTATTTTTTAGATTTTTTTTTATTTACAAGGTAAAGATGTAGAGGCCAGAGCACATCGTTTTTATTTTAATTTAAATGTCACTTAAGCACTACAGTGTTTAGTTGTCCTTTTCAATTTCACAGTAAATTCCATTTTCAACTTGTTTGCTTCTTACAATCGTATAGAATTTCTAAAAGTATTGCATGTAATCCGTTGGTTTATTACATGTATAATGTGTACTCCATAATCGCCTGTCCAAAAATCAGCACAAGTGAAGCAGAATCTATTTTTAGAATAGCGAAGGTTAACTCATATCGTGACCTAGAAAAATATGTAAATCGGAAGTAGAACTGTTTCTACTTATATTATAACTTCCTTACCATGAAAGACTACATGGTGGTAAAGTGTTGAAAAACTCTCTTCTTACATGCATTTTCAAAAATAGATATTTATACTAACCATTGTACTGTATCTAATTTATTAATAACTGCTGAATATTCAGCTAAACCCGCGGTATGAGTCACGAAAATAGTTCTTCTTTTATTAATGCGCGAGTTATCCTAGAGTCACGAAAAACTTTTGATTTGTTAATAATAATGTTTTGTATAATGTAGAAATATTTATTTTCTACTAATAATGTCTTGGAACTCAGAGCTTACACCTTTATTGTAGTATAATTTGCTGTCCTACTTTTTCAACAGCGGTAAATCGTTTTGGCAGTAATTTGCATATTGCGCAATAATACTACGGGACTACAACGTTTTTATCAATAATATACGTTCATATTTTAACTTGGATAACTTAATTTGAAATTAAAAAGGCTAATTATGGAAGACTTTAAGATATCCCGACAAAGTATGGGAGTTTTGAAGGATCAAATTCATGTACTATTTCTTGGGCTGTTAATCGGTTTAGGACACTTTGCGCGATTGTAGCCGACGAAATCCCATGTGTAGATGACTTAGCTCTGAACGCGCCTGAGGGCGCGTCCGTCGCAATAATCCTTAGGATCGGTCGGGGGTGAATATCACTACTCCTGTTCGGTCAAAAGGTTTAATTATTTATCAATATAACACTACTTTCCCAGAGTGAACATTTACATAACTCATATTGGTCAAGCATTTAACAACATAGATAAGTCCGAAGTCGACATTTACACAGCTACATTTGTAATACTTGTCAACAAAGAAAATTGAAATTGGCCTGGGCAACACATGCATACCTGTTTATCGGTCCGGCAAATACATTACTAGTTCTGATCGAAGAAACAAATTAAAGCTTCATGTTTTTGTCCCGGGTAAACACTTGTGTTAACCAATGATCATGTTTTTGGTATTGATCAAGGAAAAACATTTGTACCAGTATTATTATTCCGGATATTATATTAATAGTGCTTTTCAAGAGAGAATGATTTCAAAAATTCAGCGTTAAGATACAAACTTAATAATGTAACACCAGTAACTACCCAATAAATTAGAAAATTGAATCCAGAACAATACATATCAAATGTTTTTCCAACTATTGTCCAAGTTATTTCATCGTTTTCTTGTTCATTTGCGTGTTCATCCTTTGACTTTACTTGCTTGCATTCATCACCATAACTTTCCTCGCCGTCAATATTTGTTTCCATTGTACAATCTGGCAATTTTGGCTTTAGATCTTTTACTTTCCTCTTCTTACACATTCTTCTGAAACACATGCATTTTAAACAGATAACGAGGTATTTTGTGAATACCGGAACTTTGCCTTTCCTGTCATATATTCGCATCGACACGATGCAAGCAAATGTAATGTACGAGCTATATAACAAAAGAAACATCAGATAATAATATATGTAAGCTATTGGCGACGAGCTTTGCGGAACATTATTGTTTACAATTTGCATGTATACAGCAAATGAAAGAAAGGCCGTAATTGCAACTGAAGTGCGCTCCCCAAATGAAGCCGGCATGTAAAACACAAGGTTATTCATTCCACCAAGGAAAACTAACGGTACAACTATGTAAATTATGTAAAACTCGCTACGTCGTTTCAATGTTATAGTTAAAACAAGACCAGATGGTCCATCTCGTATAGCATAGCTGTGAATTATGCTTTTCTGGAACTCCCATCGACTGTTGTTAGCCCAGTATCTTATATCGGCTGAAGGTTCCATTGAATGAAACGTTAAGTCCTCACTTCTTACTGTAAGAGTGGTCAGTGTTATTGAACAAGATTGAATGTCAAATGGAAAAAATGTCACATCCACAGGACATGTAACTCGTGTTACAGAACCAAGTGTCCAAACAACAATTCCCTCATAAGTAATCCGTACCATTTCAGACCCGTTACCTATTTCTTGAATATTGTCGAATGATTCACGAACAAATGCTTTAGGTCGCCATACATCTTCTGGTGACATAAGAAGAGATGCTTTACTGTCGAAGTCGTCAGGAGACCATGACATGCGCTCTTCCCTCCATGTGAAATTGAAAATTAAAGTGAGAGCTAACTCGCCAGAGAGTTCATCAAACTTATTGATACTAAGTAAATATATATAGACACCAACATGAGCTGGTCCGCTTTGATTAGTGACAGGCAAAAGCCTTTTATTATAACCATTTAATAGCTTTGTGTAGAGATTATCTGCTTCAGATACATTGAGAGGTGACACCGGTATATCTGCTAAAACGATCAGAATAAGTACCGCAATAGACTTGTTAGCAGAACAAGACTTATTTTTCATTATAGCAATGTACGCTAATAGGATTCTTGAAGTAACATGTAGTACATATCTGAAAATTAAAGATATTAATCTGAAATTGTCAATTGCACATTAAAAAAGCAGCTGAAATTTGGTATTGGTTAATAAATTGAAAACCCATTGAAATTGTTTCTCAAAATTGTTTAAAAAAGAAATATTGGATTATCTCGATTAACAAATGTTCCCACCAAATATGAAAGAAATCTAAGTATACCAAGATATCTTATATTCATAAATCGGTAGAATGACAAAATTTAATTCATCTATAAATCTCTAAACTGCAATTTCCAGGAGAACAATATATCTTACCTTAGTTGATATGTATATTTCTTCTTGCATAACCACGATAATCCGTTACCGCATTTAGTTTTTAGAAAAGCAAAATGAAATTCTTATAGAATTATTGGCAATTAAAACGCTTTATTACCCATCACTGGATACAATTCCCAAAGCAACAAAACTATTAAGTTTCAGAGATGATAACAACTTTTTCAAAGAATCAATACGATATTTCGTAATCTGCCAAAGCAATTGAATATTTGTCACGGCACCAGCACAGCTTTTAAACAGTCCTATGGGGTAGAGTCAATTTATATGTTTACGTTTTGATAAAAGCATAGTTGTTTGCGCAAGACACATTATTTTTATATTTCCTCTAAAAGCATTTATATTAGATAAACAGCACGCACTATTAGATATATCATTTTAAAGAGTCACGGTTGCTATTTACAAGCAACTTTTAGATAATGACATCCCATTAGTATCACATGATAATTAAAAATATTAAGTTGTGGATTGCAATCACTTAATAACTTGTGTTTTTTTCCCAATTATTGTTGTACGCAGCAACGCATAATCATAATCATTTATTTACGCTGTCATTTGGTGTAATTCAAAGCGATGCATTGTAACTGCACATGAACTCCGAATGGACTTCAATATTTATTATATTTTACCGACAGACCTGACAGATGTTCAAACAATCAGATAATGTATAATGTAGATTGTCTTCATAAAAAGTAGATATTTTGATAAAAATAAAATAAATTGTTGCATACCGCTAAAGTTTGAGCCAGGGTGGACGGCAGCTTGCATATACCACTACTGTCCATGATCAGGCTCAGTCAAACCGAGCCCGTGGTAATATCTCCAATTTTGCCGTTTTGGGCGTTTTTCAAGGGTTTCTATTAAAAAAATTTCTATCTTAATAACAGAATATTACCTAAACAGCAACACAACGGTAAATATACATGTATATAGTACAGTACAAAAACAATTCAAAAAATGCCATACAAAGACAATACATGTGCCATACAAAGGAAATTCAACATTGCGTTATACAATTCAATTAGTTTAAACATATTTACATGTAAAATATTGTACAAATAATAAAGTACGTAACAAAAAAAGCAAAAGGGTTGGGCAACAAGTTCTAGCAACAATAGAATATGCCCTTCACAGGAATAAATATACTAGAAAAAATACTATTACGGCAACAATCATTCAGTTCATTTATTCATTAAATGTACAACGATTTTGATTTAAATGTGCTATCCATCAACAGGTGTCTATCCTGATCTTGCTGTAGCAATGATTAATAACTATAAGTTAGAGAATGATGGTTTTTGTATGTTTGACATTTATGTTCATTAAGTTTAGAGCAAACTAGCCTAAATAAATGAAAATCTTTGGAATAAAAAAAGAAAAATGTGTAATGTCAATTATTATCAAAACGATTGGTCGTCAATAGATTCGAAAATGACAACGTTAACTTCGTATTCAAAAGTTTCGCGACCACAAAATTGTGCGTCAATGTTAAATAGATGATATAAGATCGAGTTTCTCGAAAGAGTATTATTGGTTGTTCGACGTAACGATAACAATACTTGGCATTTTCAATCACAAAATCACATTGATTAAAAGGTCTTCTCGCAAATTATTATTACATTAATCGTTATTTGAATTACTGCAATTATTTCATAAACGTTTCTCTGGCTTTGAAGAAAATATTTCGGAACTGTTGGTGCTTTAAACAGGTTTTAAGCCTAGATTTAAACATGTTATGTGTTGGAGGGTTTCGTATACCTGGGTCGATGGTATTCTTTAATTCTAAGGATGGTAAAAAGGATGCATTGTTTAACTGAGTGCGCCTAGCTATAGTAATATAATTGTTTTGTCTTTTGTATTCGCAAAGGATAAGAAGTAATTTCTGGTAGAGTTGGCGGAAACAAAGAAGATAAATAAATAATACAATGCAATATCTCACTAAAAGAGTTTTTACCATAGAAACATAATAATTTAAGTCATTTATAACAAACAGGTAAATGTCATAAATGGGTATAAACAATAACAAATAATAACAATAAACAATTTGAATTAATGCCTTTAGACATAGTACATCATAAGATAAATTTCAATTTCATTTTTTGGGTGTAATGCATATCGTAAAATCTGATCAATTCACTTCCTAAATAATGCTACACTATATACATTTGCTGTCACAAATTTATATATGTTGATTTGCAAAATAAAACATAATTTAAAATATGTATGTCACGATGAAAAGTATACTTTATCATTTTTTATCATTGCTTAGACAAAACTTCGGAATATTATAAACTTTGGTTAAGATATAAGTTGATAAATGACGACCAGGTAAAAGTAATAAAAATAATAAAGTTGAAAACTCCACAATATATATCAAACGTTTTTCCAACAAGCGTCCAAGTAACCTCTTTATCCTCGAATTTGTCTTCAAGATTCGGTTTCACGTCAGTATTGTCTTGCTCAGTTTCAGAAATGTCAGTTTGTGAATCGGAGCGGTAGAGAGAGTTTATTTTATCAAGTGGTCTTCTTCTTTGTTTACAGCACCAGAATCTTAAAGTACTGACTAGATTTTCTACACATGCAGGAACCTTTCCTTGCTTGTCATAGATACGCAAAGACACAATGCAAGCAAACATGATGTATGAACTGTATATAAGTAAAAACAACAGATAGTAATAAATATACGCTATCGGTTTGGAACTTTGTGGAACGCTGCTGTTGACAATTTGCATATACACAGCAAATGATAAGAAAGAAGTTATTGCCACAGAATTTCTTTCGCCTGCAAATGCCGGTATGGCAAAGACGAGATTGTTTATTTTTCCAAGAAATACTAATGGAATTATAAGGTAAATAACGTAAAATTCGCTTCTTCGCTTCAATGAAATTTCAAGAAGTGTTCCAGATTGTCTGGTCGGTTCAGAAAAACTAAATATCCTGCTGCTGACGTAGCTCCACTGACTGTTATTCATCAAGAATACCGTGTCAACAGACGATGACAATGTCTTGATTTTCATTTCCTCCGACCTCACTGTCACAGTTGTCAAAGTAACTGGACATTTTTGGCTATCAAAAGGGAAGAATGTAACATCTACTGGGCAAACAACCTTAAGAACCTCTCCAATTGTCCACACAACGAAACCGTCATATGTTATCCTCAACATGTCAGATAGTTTCCCAATTTCTCCCATATTATCGACAGATTCACGAACGAATATTTTAGGCTTCCACATATCTTCCGGCGCAAAAAGCAGCGACGTTTTCCCGCCATAATCGTCAACTGACCAATTTATTCGCTCTTCCCTCCAAGTGAAATTAAAAAGAACGCTGAATGATAGTTCACCAGACAATTCATCAAAACTGTTTATACTCGACAAATACATGTACATACTGACATCGACAGCTTCACATTGATTTTGTAAAGGCAGAATGTTTTTGTTGTAATTCTTAAACAACTTAGAATAGAGAAAGTTGGCGTCTGTAATATTCAAACTGGAACATAAATTACTGGACAATGTTATGACCATGGTTGTGTAAGCATACAAAATTTTGTCGTACATCCTTCACCTGTTGTATGAACAATACTCTGAAATATGAAACAAAACATATTTCATTTGCCATATACAAAAATAGAACAGTGTACTAAAAGTGTAATTCAAATATGGATCAAACAATTTATGAAAGAGAAATGTAAGAAGATATCGTATAAAGAAACAAAAACAAATACACTAATAGAGTGAATTAACAAATGAATATAGACTAGATAATATCAGGGAAAATGAATTAAAAAGTGTACAAAGTGCAGATAGACAAGGATTAAATATGGATTGAGTATTAAATGATGGTAGACAAAGAAAATATATAGTGACAATGTGATTGCACATGTAAATGAAGATATACAAAGTAGACCAATACAAAATGTTGATGAAGAGTATGTTATGCTAAATGAACGAAGACAAGATAGACATGTTTTAAAAGAACAACAACAATACATACAACAAGTGTATAACAGCAAAAATTTAAAATATGGAAGATCTTTGAAACGTAGATTACGTTGACAATGACAGATTACAAAGATTGGAATCTAGTTCAAAAGACAGTGTTTACAATGTTAAAGGAGGTATACAAACAAATGGACAACCGAAAACAAATAGAAAAGAGTGTTTCATTTGAAATATTTGCTTCAAAATGTGTAAGTGATATTTTTTATTGAGTGATGATTCATATGTAAATATCATCAAAGAAATGAGAAATTAGATATAAAAATGAAGTCTCTTTGACATGATAATAATGACATAATGATACAGTTAAAGACACAAATCCAAACTAAAATATTCATCATGTCGACCAAAAGTTAAAATCAGTGACGACAATAGCAAAGACATTGAACGTGATCGTAGTGTAAACAGATTGGGTGATCAGTACAATAGACAAGAGAACAAAATTCAATAAGACTCAGATAGAGAATATTTTCTTACAACAAATAAACAAATAGATTTCGAACGAAAAAGAAATAAAGAGAAAAAAGAAAGTAAAGAAAAGGATACACATTTAAAGTGAAAGAATATGAACTTGATAAATAGAAGATTAGAAAGATAACAAAGAGAAATTGAGAAAAAGAATGAACTTGAACGGCTGCTTATGGAAAGATTGTTATTGTTGAAAAATCAGGAAAAAACACTAACCCGAAGATTGATAAACATAGACAGAGATATTCAATGTGAAAAAGTTGCATGTGTAAATTTTATTGATGACAACACATATGTTGCATGAATTCGAAATTCGAATTCGAATATCATAACTACATAAGGGATACACAGAGACCTTGTGAGAGTAATAGAGGTATTAAAGATGCATACAGACATTATTAGAAAATAGAGATAAAGGAGATACTCTGATTTAAAAAAAACAACAGATAAAAACAAGATACCATTTGACAAACAAATGATGATGATGATGATGTAACATTTAATGGAGAAAATGAATAAAATAGTGAAACAGTTAGAACTCTTATAACAAGAAAGAAGAAAGAAGGAACAACCAGAATACAACACACAATATAGAAACCAACATTATATATACAGAAGAAATTACTCTAGATGAAGAAGACCATATTACTAGTAAGAGTGACACTGAACCTAAAAGTGAAAAATTAAACGCTGAAATGCTTCCATTTTCAGTTACCGAATGTCATTTGGGCGTTGTAACGCCCCAGCTACCTTCCTTAAACGAGAGACATAAATTTGATAAGCCTCATTTACCTAGATTTTATCTCATATTCTCAGGTAACATTCATACTCTTATAAATCGCCTAGATGTCGTATTCAAACGCTTGTCAGAAAACAACTTTAAAATAAACCCATTTAAATGCGATTTTTTTTTTTAAAGAGAAAGTAACTTATTAAGGTCATGGGGTATCAAAGGAAGGTATTCAAGCAGACCTAGAAAAGACAAAAGTTATTAAAAATTGGCCCACTCCAAAGTCCGCCAAGGAAGTATGAACATTTTTCGGATATAAAGGATATTTCAGAAATTTCAGTAAAGTGACTCTATCAATTGCCAGACCATTGAAAAACCTACTTATTGGTCCCACAAACCTTCTCAACAGAAAAACACATTCATTTGGAACTTCGAACAACACCCAGCGTTTGAAGAATTAAAAGAAAATTAATACATCCACCAGTACTCGCATATGCAAATGACAAATTACCCTTAAACCCCATACAGACGCATCATCAAAAGGTTTGGATTTGTGTTATACCAACGACAAAACGGCGTCAACAGAGTTATTGCTTATGCCAGTAAAAGTCTTAAACCTTCGGGAAAAAAACACTTTTCTGCTCAAAAGCTAGACTAAATTGCTTTCATCTTGTTAATCACAGACAAATTCCATGATTATTTGTACGGCACCACTTTCGAAGTCGTCACAGACAACAATCCTGTGACGTATGTGACAACGATAGTACAGGTCCGAGATGGATGGCTTCCTTATCAAATTACAAATTTTCAATAACTTACAAAAGTGGTAAAAATAACGCTGACGCCGACGGATAATCATGAATAACTAACAACGAGATCTCAACAATGTCACAAACGATCTCTGTTAAACCATCGCAAATACCTGATGCAGTATAAGTCTTGGAACCAAAATTTTTGGAAGACCTTGACCCTTTAGGAACGGGCGAAATTTACAACGATTTTATATTATCACAGTCTTTGAATTCAAAGAATTGAAAACAAGCTCAAGCCCAATCCCAAGATTCGCCATATCTACAGTTGTTAACGACATGGAAAATGATACTAGACCGTCAGCTCAGCGGGTCAGTGGTTATAATTTTGAATTCAAAGATGGTGTTCTGAGGCGTCCTCAATTCAAAGGCCAAGCATATGTTCATCTTATACTTCCTGAAGCCGTAAGAGAAGAAATCTTCCGCGCTCTTCCAGATGATCTCCGAAATCAGGGTCGCGATTGGACTACATCTTTTTTCAAACAGCGTTTTAAATGGCTTGGAATGGATACTTTTATAAAAAAAAAAGTCAGTTTATATGAAAGATGCATCAAGAGAAAAACACAACCTTCAACTGCACTGTTAGTATCGATTTCATCTACTTCGCCAATGAAAATAATCTGCATTTATTATTTTAGCCTAGAAAGTTCTAACGGTAGATTCGATCATATTCTTATTGTCACAGACCACTTCACAAGATATGTTCAAGGGTTTACTACCAAAATTCAGATGACTACAACTACAGCACAGGATTTGTTTGATACATTCCTCGTTCTTTACGGCTTTCCAGACAAAATACACTGTGATCAAGGCGTCATTTAATCAAAGAATTTTGTAATTTAGTCTGACACCACAACATATCATGCGGTGGGCAACGATTTAATAAAACTCTTTTAAAGATGCGTTGTACCTTATCTGAAAGCAAGAAAGCTTTCTGGAAATCATATGTCGCTTCACTCGTTCATGCCTATAACTTTTCAATCCACGAAAGGACATGCGTTCTGCCGTACTATATCATGTTTGACACACTACCAAACAAGCTATTGATGCTTTACATGGAATTACTATCGTAGAAAACTCATCCAAATCCGAATTGGGATTGAATATGTTAGAAAACATCGAGACGAACTTTTACTTGCCTACACATTTGAACAAACAGTAGAAAACCCCGCAGAAATAAATAGATAGGTACGACATTTAGGCTAGAACAGCTACATTACACCCAGAAAATATAGATTTAATGAGGAATGTTTTACTCAGAGCACAGGGGGAAGACGCTGTGATCTGACATTATCCCGGGCCCCCTCCCCCGAATGCCCTGCTACAACCCATTAAAAATATCAATGCAAGTTGATTTGCACAATAAAAATTCATAAAAACAATATTCTGACACGTTTCGACGATTTTCATTATACCCCTATACTATATGAATTTTTATTGTGCAAATCAACTTGCATTGATATTTTTAATGGGTTGTAGCAGGGCATTCGGGGGGAGGGGGCCCGGGATAATGTCAGATCACAGCGTCTTCCCCCTGTGACTCAGAGGAAAACATAAAATGACAGACAAATGGGAATCAGACCCTTGTATCGTAGTTTCGCAACCAGACCAAACATTACACACAGCACTTGAACTTACTATTGTGATAAATATCTGGAAAAAATAATCCCTCGGAAGCATTAAAACAGCAAAATAACATGACAATTACAGACTAGATTTCATTGCATCTGTAAATGAAGGATAATGAAAAAGTGCAACATCACTTACGCCCCCTAGCACCGGTTTGAGCGGTACTCAATTTTCAACACTTAAAAGTGCTGGACTCATTGAATCAACAGGACCAAAAATATATCAACACTCATTAATCTATCACATTATAACATTGATATATCGTATATAAAAATACACTTACATATGTGCCCAAACAGAGTTTATCCGAAACGAGTACATATGTCGCAATAATCGGTGCCTTAATAACGTACAGATATATCCATATCGCGGAAATATGACATTTCGTTCATAGATGAAACTAGATGAAACAGACTTGCATTTGTGTTGTTCAAAATTATTCTCATATACTGTAGTATGATAACTCATATATGTGTAAAATCCAACTAATATTGTACTGGTCTCGTAGATCAAGTTGATGTAATATATTCATGCTGAACAATATTTGTTTCAGTATATATTATTTGTACATAATTATATTTCTGTGTAGGGATGACATTTTCCAGCTAGAGGGAATGTGTCACAGGGAATATTTATATATGTATTTATTAGATAGTAGTGGCAAATGTTTATAAACCTATACTCAACTAATACTTCCAATTGTCTCAGATCATATCACACACAAACAGTTTAGAATAATACTCTGACAGGGT